AAAAATACAATTTGGGGGAGGGGGAGGGGGAGGTTGGGGTCACAGACCAGGTTTTAATGTATTTGTCGGAAAAGAATGCAAGGAATCACACAACAGACTTCAATTAAATACTTGTTGGGACAAAAATAATTTGTTCAATTGCATCAGTATGACATTGGCTTATTTGAAGTAGCGCACAAAAAAGATGCTTTTTCTCTTGAATCAGCATCATCAGCTTCAGCAGAAATGCAGTAGAAGCATCATTATCAGCATCATCATCATCGTCCTCCATTCCCCACCCCTCCTACTCCTCATCATCATCAACATCCTCCATCTCCCCTCTCCTCCTCCTACTCACCATCATCATCCTCCTCCTCCTCTTCCCCCCCCCCCCCCTCCTCCTCCTCGTCATCCTCCTCTTCTCCGTATTTCTTCTTCTTCTCATTCTCCCCCCCCCCTTCCTTCGTCCTCATCATCATAATCACTGATTACACAATGAAAAAACGTTACTAAAAGTAGACAAAGAAAACCATAACAGAGCATCTAAACGACCATCCTATAGACATGGTAGTCACACTGTCTAAGAGATAAAATCCTGATTCTCAAAGATGGAAGTCTTTCAACCTCGAACAAAGACAGCAGTCAACATTTTCTTCATAATACTGAAATATCTACTGGTCACATTTCTTTCCTTTTTTTTCCACCTACAATCAACAGACAAACCAGCATCAGAGATATTATGGTCATGGACACAGAAGACCAGAAGTTGGTTCCCAAGTGGGAAGTCTTTTACTCAATTTTCTTGGTCTCCTGTGACTTATAATATCCCACTCAGTCCTCACAAGCAGGGTCAAAGTACCCTGTCTTTTAAAAGGTTTTAAAATAAATCAACTGAGCAAAATAAGGTGGGGGGGGAGAAGGAGAATGCCCCAAAAAACACAAAACATTACCAGTTTACAAATTTCAGCTTCACTGTCCATGTCAAATACTTTCTTGAGATCAGCCATCTTCGCAAATTCTCCTTTGGAAACATTGGTGAAGACTTTCTGTGTCTGTAACACTTCATCAATATCTGTTTCACTGAAAAACATATTTGGATAAATTCTGTAATCCCAGAGTTGTGTTTGTTTTAGTAGAGGTTTTACGGCGCTCACAAATGCATTAGGTCATTTGAGCGCCAAGAGGTGAATGTCAACAGAAATGTCCCCGCAGGGAATCAGGCTTACTCTGCTCACCTCTCTAGCTTCAGCAGCACAAAGTCTGCTTCGACTATCAAGACACCCCGGAAATAGCGGGTCACGAGAGTGTAACAAACATACAAAAGAAGTAGAGGAAAAATGACAATAATAAGGATTAGGAAAGAAAAAGCATCAGATCCCTGTTGCAGTACAGAAGCAGTTATGAGCATGCATGACATTGATGAATCAGCCCACTTACAATTGCAATTCTACTGTGCATAAGAACAAGGTTAATGTCCCCCCTTTGGGAATGGCCTAAAGACACTTCAGTCAGTAGCACCAGCCCAGGGGCTTATCCCAGAGTTAATTTAGGTTAAAAAAAAACAGGAAATAAAAGAAACAAAGACAAATCAGTAAAGCATACTATTCCCTTCGATGTAGAGCTCCACATTTTGTGTAAAGAGAAGCACATAGCACAAAAACACGTATCTAGTGCAGAGAAAAAGCAAGGCAGACTGATAGAAACAGAAACAACAAAGAGAGAGAAAAGAAATAGGACATACTAGAGGTCTCCTTTCCAACAAACCAACATTACTAGCTTGGAAGACAAGTTACATTTTACAATTTGAGAATCATTCAGGTCGTTTCTCTTTCATTTAAAATAAAAAGGAAAAAGCATTACAGGAAAGAATGCAGCATGCATAACCCCTTACAACATAAGAGCACCATCCCTCTTTCTACATTTACCTAGATGTAGACAAGGAAATTATATATTAGGGTTATCCCTTTCCGATTTTTTGCTCTCTCTCTCTCTCTTGTTAGTCTCTTGATCTATTCCTTTCTACTTGCCTTTAACTGAACAAAATTGTGTTACTGGGAGCTCGCTTGAACCTCTAAGTGTCGCAAACACATATCTTGGGCGTTATGGGAAATTATATGATTTCACCATACTATGCGGGAAAATGCCTGAAAATAGTCAAACCAAGCGAGTATGTTTGGCGATACAAAAAAATTGTGAAAAACGAACCGAAATAGCAACTCAAATTACGGCCAATTACAACGGCCGTGACACCATAGAACAAAACATACGGCCAATTAATCGGGCTTCAACATGAAGAGGGTTAATACACTTACAATAATTTTAAAATCCATACTTTCCCCCACTCTTCTCTCATTCTCTACCAACCGCAGTTGTGCACAGGTCGCAAATGCAATTTATATTAAGGAACAGGAACTCTATTTTCTTTTCTTCACTCTCACTTCCCTCCCTTTCTTCTGTCTATGTGTCCTATTGCTTTAAAAAAATTTTCCTACCACCCAAGCTGAAAGTTACATTTATATATGCTAACAGTCAGTAAATGAAAAATAAAAAAAACATCACATCATCCACAGGGTGTCCAACAATATTTCCTGAAAAAATTTACTACCTGCAAAAAAAATGAACTACTAAGCAAATCAAGCTCCACGTCAACTCAAAAAAGGAAGATCATTTGTGCCATCAAAACATATATATAAATATTACATATATGGAACAAAAATTACACACAACAAAGTCCAGTCGACAAAATGGAGGATAGACAGACGCTCGCACACTCACTCGGAAGTCATATCGGCGCCCAGAGGTGGATGTCACCAGAAAACGGGGAGTCACAAGTTTACTCTGCTCACCTCTCTAGCCTCAACAGCACAAAGTCTACTTCGACTATCAAGGCACCCCGGAAAATAGCAGTTCACAAGAGATTGACAAAAATACAAAAGAAGTAGAGGAAAAATTATGATATAAGGAATAGGAAAGAAAAAGCAGCAGTTCCCCCTATGTTGTTCAAGCACAGTATGAGCATGACATCGATAAATCAGCCATTTACACTTCTACTGTGCATAAGAACATGTTAATATCCCTCCTTTGGGAATGGCTTAAAGACGCTTTAGCCAGTAGCACTGCCCTGGTGGTGGGAGGCTAGATTTAGACCTAATGCGTGCACACAGGGTGGCTGCGCCAAACCTGTTTCTCAATTTTCCAGGGGGTCATCCATTTTCCAGGGGCATGTTACATAACAACACACACACACACATGTACAATATATCCAGGACGTGTTCAGTGTCACACTGGGGTCTCATTTGACTTAAGTATTTCAGTCTGTTACAATATTTTCCTCTCAATATCATATATAAAAAAAGAATCCTGCTTTGAGCGTTCGGAAGGGCCTAGAACAAGAAGTTCGACTGTCAAGGACCAGCAATAACTTGAATGGCTCAAGTAGACCCATGCAGTGTGAGTTGTAACAACTGTGGCAGGGCAAGAGGCAGTGACACTGAAAATCTGCCAGTCTTGAACAAAAAGCTACAATATACATGTAGTTATAATCTGCTATCACCCACCCAATGAACCGCGAACACTTTATTTCAATAACACGGCTTACAAAGTAAGTACCAACACGCGCTTTGCAGAGAGTTCTAAATCTAATCAAAATTCTGAAGTTTGCTTACAAGTTTTTGTCCTCTGGTGTTGCCTTCAGCACCCCACCCCCCCCCCAAGCATATCTTTTTTTTAAAATCAATAATCCCCTCCCCATTCCGTAGTCCTATACTTCCCAACACTCAGACTTTGATTAAACTTTGGCGACCCCAACAAATGCCGATATTCACGCGATGCCGTACTTATTTGTGATGCGAACATGCGCAGGTTCACTGACCGGTCACGATGGCGAGCCTGACAATCTAAAAATCGGACTACACTTGCACTTTCTTTTCTTTTTTTCCCACAAGTGACAGCACAGTGACTAGTCCGAGTATTGATTAAATTTTATTTGCACGGCGACACAGCGTTTACACTGCAAAACCTGCAAGTCACAAATGTTGCGTTACCAGCCTAGGCTTATTGCCGGCAAATTTGTGGGTGGTGACGAAAGCGAAAGTAGATCTTGATTTTCCCAATCGAGCCTCAGTGTCACATACATTTCCGCCTGCCGCCTAAGCCGCCTGTTTGCGAGAAAGTGAAACGTACTCTTGGACAGGGAAAAGCTGAACGAATATAATATCACATTCGCGACCGGCAAAAATGAACTTACTGACCTTATCGGACTTGGTTTTCTCAAATTCCGCAATACTTATACTATTTTGACAAAAGATGGGACTTGATAATCGCTTCGTACCGCGGCAAAGACTCCGTTCACTGAAAAGTCTTGCCGGCTTCATCACTCAGTACACAGGTTAATTTACGACTGTTTATCAAATGTTAACTACCATCACGGCACATTTACTACCACTTACAACCTTTATGACCAGGGCGCCCAATTTGCGACTTAACGACCTTGCTGGACACCCTGATCCAGTGCCAGATCTGCGACAGACATCGGTAATCATGGTTCTCCATTCCTTTCTTTGCTCGGATGCTCTTAAAAAAGCTACTTTTCCCAGATCTTTCCCCTTCACCCATTTGTTCAGGTTCCCTAAGAAGGTTGCTCTGGGCCTACCCCTGTCTCATTTGCCTTCAATTTTGCCAGTGAGAGCTAGATGTTCAAGACCTATGCCTGTCTATTCAGGTGTGCCAAAAACTGCATTTGTCGTTTCCTGATTGTTTTTAAAAGTGAGCGTCCCACGTGGGCTTCATCAAGCACTACCTCATTTGATTTCGTTTCCTTCCACGATATTCTCAGCAGTCTCCATCACATCACACACTGCTTAAAACTAACAGCACATTTACCTAAAGACCCCACTTTCCTAAAATGACATCCTCTTTACACATGGTTACTCTGTGTTTCAAAAGGTTCTTACATTTTATTTCTCCAAGACGTAACTTTGTTAGGGTAGCAGGCAATTTCAAACCGCTTGCCTCCCTTCTTCAGCCTCACGATGGCAACGTTAGTGAGGCGCTTTTGATTTGTGGGTTGGTTGATCTTAGACATCTTTCAAAGGGGCGATTGTCAATCTGGAAGGACAGAAATAAGAAAAACAATTAAAACTTGAACACTGTCATTTAATGTAACTGTATATATGTGTCCCTGCCGGTCAGTATCAGTCACATGAAGAAAATTTCAAAACTGAGTTAACATTATTCTAAAAAACTATCACCTATTCCCTGCAATTTAAAACAAGAATGAAGTAAATTTATATGACCATATTTGACGATAATACAAAACTTTTAACTGTGCGAGGTGAGGAAACACAAAAAGGAGAAAATGGTCTCTGAAGTACAACATGTTTCCATAGCAATGGGGGTCTTAGAATTGAGATAGAGACTTGAAATTTAGCAGTATCTAGGCTATGCCACTACAAGGTAACATACAAAAGTAGAAAACGATTTATTCACAGAGAAAAAAATTGTGGAAAAAAAAATTTTTCACGAGAATGGACTTCACGTCAAATGCAACAAAATATTAGCATGATAAGTACCAGATTCTAGATTTTCAAAGTATCTGTAAGTCAAATTCATCTGTTTCATATGAAAGGCCTACATCTCTTGAGAATTTTGGAACCATACTTTTACCTCTCCGTCAATGTTTAAGAGAATGGCAGCTGTTTCAATTTAACATAATAATCAAATATTGCTGAAGTCGGTAACAGGCTGCAACCACATGTTTGACAGATAATAAAAGAGTACCAAGTGCACCAAGCATCTCTACATCAACAGAGTACAATCATTATAACAAACAAATGAAACCTAATTTTTTTTCATGACTGTGAGATCATTATAAATCAGTATTTTATAGCCTCAAACACTATGATCTGTCGTTATTTCGATTAAAAAAACACTGAGTGTCATCCCGGCCGGTGCCGCACCAGCCCTCGCAGCGAGCGAGTCGGCTCAATACTGTAGTATACTGAGTGCTCCCAGTAGTTTCAGGGAAGAATTCATGAAAAATAATTCCAAGCCAATGACTTTATTCTAATAGTTAAAGAAATGTTCTTTCTATCGGTACCTTTTTTTCCCGTTATTTTACACATTTCGTGTTTAAAACGATCTTTGAAAACTTTTTTTCAAGGTTTCTATCCAAACGCAAAAGGCCAAAAATAAAAACCACAGGAAACCATGCTCAAAGCTGTATATTTCTCGGCCAATGAAAAGACGGTATTTAACCATCAATCTTTCTGCAAAGCATTCGAATGCATGGGTGTCAATTTTGAACTGGACCACCTCGCATTCCGACCTCAAGGGACTTCCCTTTCCACAACGATTCTCCAGCTTATATTCGGATTATAAACAACTTACACTCTATTGTATATAAAGGAAATCTTTTTCAAAGTGTTCAGCATTTGGTGTTTTATAGTAAAAGAGGTAAGAAAGAGAGATCTGAATTACACCCATTCTACTGAAACCACGCGCCCGGAAGGCCACGAGTCGGCTTACGTGATGCGTGTGCGCTACCTAATTATAATAGCACCTAAACACACGAGAGCACACACACACACACACAAACACACACTTGCACATAGAAAAGAGGAAGGTTAATTAATCTTTTAAAAGCACTAAAACACAATAAAAACAAATTTTTAAAGTCAACCCCAGTGTCACAGCTAGCAGGGCACGCCCACACAGTCAGCTGTTTACAAGCTTGAAGTGAGCTAGAAGTTACCGTTTTTATTCCGTTTTACCAATCAGAGTTGTCTACATTTCAGACCATTCATGCTCGAAAAGGGGTCAAAATCTAAAAATGGTTGCGAATGAAGAAAGTAGAAGCAAAGATACTTCAATGTGGAGTATCTCTGGTTGAAGCAAAGGTGGCTATGGGGTAATGGTTCTAAAAATAAATTCACAGCTACACACTAGCAAGGTCCAAATTCCTAAATATCTCGTCACCCAAGCTCACAACAAACCACAACCTCCAAAATAAATCTAAATAAAATATTTATAGTCGATTAAAGTTGTTTATATTTATCTTATACGAAGCAGAAGACATCAAATTTTCAATATATTCAAAAATAAAAAATTCCATGGAAAGTCACTTTTTTGTCTTTAGAACCTTGTAGCTGATAATAGAACAGTGCGTCTTACGACCGAAATTGACCGGGGCAGACAGATTATGACGACTAGCCAAATTGTCAAGGAGAAAAGTGGCACGTCGTCTTCTTGTTATTGATATTGCTGATGCTATAAAATTGCAGATCCCTCTGCCTGTGTGTATTAACTTTAAGTACCAACTTAAAATTACCATCCATCCAGCAATAAAAGACTAGAGCCAGAAAATGGGTCACAAACTGAACAAACTAGCCTGCCAGCATGCGAAGGGTGAATCTGCAACATTTAAATTTTTATAGTATCCACACCAATGTGTGTTTTAGGCTTCCAGGCCATAGAAACTCACGCCTCACATCTCACACCAAAATGCGAGAGGGAAAAAATGAACTAATGTAATCTTACTTGCGATGGGCCATAGACCTCCACTCACACCTCACACTTCACAGGACACAGCTCATGCATGAGCCTAGAAGTGAACATGTTCACTTTTGTTTTTAGGCGTGAGTCAAGGGCAGACTGGATATCAAAGCATTTCGCCCCCCGGTAGAGCTGGATGCCGGCCAGATTCCGTTGTCAACAATTTGTAATTCATATATTTTCTCGTCAGGATGGATGATTACAAAGAAAGATTAATCAAGTAAGTCTGAGCAAGGCCTCTGCTCTGGGACCCACGTGATCCCGGTTTGTACAAAATCTATTGGTATAATTGTTAAAATAAGAGTTCTTCATCAGGATTGTCCAAGAGATGCTTGAATGTCAGGTGAAAAAATGCTCTCGGCACCATATATCCTCAGTCTCTTTCGCTTCCTTCGTCTGAGGAACAACAAAATCAGCTTTATATCTTCTTCGTCAGATGATTCCATCTTGGATGCACCACACAGACTGGTGTGTGAGGCGTAAAACATGAGCCTTTATGGCCCAGTGAGCCATGAGGCATGAGGCATCAGGCGTGAGATGTGAGATGAGTTTCTCAGGCCCGAAAACCTTACAACCAGAAATACGGCAGCAGAGCCCCATTTTAAGAAGTGCACTGCCAGCAGAAATGAAAGTAATAATCTAATCAACCAAAAGATTTTACAGAAATCTGAGTTCAGTTCAGTGTTAGAATTTGATGAGAATATTATCACAATAAATGGAGTAACATTGCTCTCTCATAGATCTACTTGAGTAGGTTGTAGGTTCACTGGTTCAGTGTGGGGTAGGCTACAAATTAAGAATCACCAGCCAGAAATCTGGCAACTTACCAAAATAAAATAGCTGTAATGAATATGCAATGTTGTGTTCATGAGGAAGACTGGGTTTGTTGGGGTTGGGTTTTTGTTTTTGTTTTTTGGGTTTTTGTAATTAAGATGGGTGAGTCTGCTGAACAATAAACTTGAATGATGACAATGAGTCACACGAGCGGAGTTAGTGAACGAGTAACACAACGCCGAATTAAAAACATAGAACTGTAAGGCCTAGAACTAATATCACTGTAGATCCTTTACGGTATAAACAAAGTGAACAGTGTATGGTTGGGCAATGATGTGCCCAGGAGTAGATTCTGGCGGATCCTAGACCCTAGATTAGTAACTTTGGTTGGATGAAGACGTTTTCAGCCAGAATCAGATTTCCAGGCACGGTGAAATAGGCTAATATTTTGTCTGAATCGAGCTATAGAGTAGCTTCCCCTGGGTGTGCTTCTTTTGGAAAATACATCGCAAAATTAGTCTTGCTCTGCTGCACTAAGTTTATAATAATTTCCTGGCTGGCAATGAAGCGACAAAAAAAGTTCCTTCGATCTGTGCAAAAAGAAAGTGAGATAGAGAACCATCTTTACAGCTTAAAATGATTGTATGTCTCCCCTTGAGTGGCACTTATTTTTTTTCTTGAATCCTCAATTTCGGAGACAAATTCAGATCTTCAGGGTCATCATTTGCCTCAAAGACAACTTATTTGAGTTTGAGCTCATTTTTTAGGGCAGTTACAATTGGCCTATACACTTATACATCAACATTTAGCTTAGTTACTGAAATCATTGAAATCACGCAAAGCGTGGGAACGGGAAGTAAGATTGGAGTAACTATAAGGTCGTTAAAAGAATATAAGACAGATGAAGAGATTTTATGAAGATCTGGATAAGACAATGCATAATAATGAAATAACTCGACAGAGCGGCCTTAAATAATATTGACTGAATGATTTTTTTACAATTCCTTTCTATGTATGTCTACACACTCCAAATGCTTTAATAGTTCTTCTATTGTAAATGTTTTTACACCCCCATCTAAACAATTCAGAGCATTTAGGATGCGGGCTTCCGACCATGCATGTCAGGGCCAACCCGGGTTGAGAGGGCCTACACCCCAGCACAATGACCACGAGATAGGCCAACCCGATACTCCAAATATACCAAAAAAATAATGTTCTCCTTAAACTTGGGTCTCCTGTATGCGACAGCAAAGCGCCTAATCGCTCCACCACTGAAGTCGGTTCAAATAGTTCATCATGTGTAGCTTTTTCAATTTATGCCTTTGATTTGAATAATCAACGAAGCTTATATTTCTCACCATTGATGTCCCAAAAGGCAAAGGCTGCTATGTTTTCTTACTTCTTTTTATGATATTTTGTCTTAACATTCCATGCAGCAGTCTTTAAAAGTCTCCATTTTTTATTTGTAGCCTTGTCCTATAGTATTTAACAGAGTGACCGACGGACGCCACCAATTACGTTGTAAAAGCAAGAAGTTCAGAACTGGATCACGAGCCACCTTTTGTTATCTGTGAAATGTGTCAGGCTTCTCGTGAATTTTCTTGTCAGATTACAATTGTGCTTTCCCGTTGCCGACTGCCGGTTTATGTACAGTTTTCTTTTCAGTATTTGTCATTCCGTCAATGATCACCCACCCACAGTGAAGAATTTGGAACGACTTATATATGATGGTGCCTCCCATTGCCAAGATAATGGTCCTTTTTTTTCTTTGAGTAAAAGTAAAGTAAAGTTGTTCCCGCATCCGATCCGGACATTGGGGATTGCCTTGTTAGTGAGACAACTTCCTGGGCCTTCGGCACATTGTGGTAGGGTGGCCAGTTCCTTTCAACGCCAACTCGAAGTCAGGTACTCATTACTCCTGCTGGGTGGGCAGGAGGGGGCGAGAAAAAATTCCTATCGGAGCAGAGGCTTGAACCTGGACTTTCCTATTCGGAGACGAGCGCAGTAACCACCGTCACCGCACCCTCTTCTTTGAGTACACGTATCAGTATATGACATTTTGATCTTTGCCACGACGGCTCTCCTGTGCTGTATTATCTTCCACTGGTTTGTAACAGTACGTACTGATATATTCTTGGAACGTGTTGGGTTATATAAAGTATTTCCAAGTGTGTGTATACATACTACATGTGTGAGCGTGCGTGCATGTCTTCGAGAGTCCACTAAAGACAGCCTGAGTTGCAACACATGTGATGGTAAGCTTGCCACAACTGCTACATGTACTGTCAAATAGCTTAATCTGTAACATATTCACATGTTGTAATCTGTGTAGTGTGAATGTGAGCTCTCTTTCCAGACAAAGAAGAAAAACGTGTTAGTTACTGTTTCCACTAGACTGACAATAGAGAATTTCTCTCTCTCTCTCTCTCTCTCTCTCTCACACACACACACACACACACACACACACACACACACACACACACACACGCACGCACACGCACGCACACTTTAAGCTTTCGACCAATTCCTCTACACACATGTTCTGAAGTGGGGAGAGAAAGAGGGGGAAGGGGGGTAGACAGAGGGGAGAGAGAGAGAGAGAGA